AAATACATATTTCTCCCAAGTGTCCCTCCCTACAGTTCTGAATCCTCCTTGTAACCAAGGGGTCTCCGATGGTGCTGACACGGCACACTCCTCAGGATCCTTCTGCAGTAAAGCTTTAATGCATCTTGAGAGGGAGAGCATAAGCTTACAGAGAGGAGACCCCGAACTCCCAAGAACCCATCCCTTATATAGGCTGGCAACCGCCGCCTCGGACGTGTTACCCCTTGACTCGCTGTAGCTCATCGGACCATATGACGCCACAGAAGAGGCAGAGACCAAGGGATGGAAAGTTACCCAGCGCCTGCGCACTAACTTGTTTACATTCGGTGCCTGCCTGATGCAGGCGCCATCTTGTAATGGAGAATGCAGGGATGGCTCCCTACAGTGTTTGAACCAGCTTACTCAAAAATGTGTTGTCAAACATTTCAAACAGACACTAAGAATGGCCTAAGCCTTCCCAGCACCCCCACCCTGTGTGTCCTTAATATGCTTTAGCAAATTTCAACTAAAGTCAATTCTTGTCTTGTCTATGCCTACAAGCACTCCTGAGTCCTTTGAAGTAAATGCTGTATCAGTGAATGCTTAAGTATATAGCACAAAAGATTAGGATGGCACCTTTGAAAAGACGGCTTTTTAGGCTGCCCTTGGGGTTGACAAAATGGCTCGTCAGGTAAAGGGGTCTACTATCAAGCCTGTTGATTTGAGTTATTTCCCCAAGTAGAAATACAGAACCTGTTACTGAATATTTCCCTTTGACACCGCCCCCCCCAACACACATGAATGTGCATGTACACACACATATACCATGGCACATGTGTTTCCACCCACACACATTACACACTCACATACCAAATAAATAAATTACCATGTGTGGTAGTTTGAATGTAATTTGCCCCATAATCTCATAAGGAGTGACTTTGTTGGAGTTGGTACGGCCTTGTTAGAGGAACTGTGTCACTGGCGGGGGGGGGGGGGGGGGGTTTGTGGTTTTTTTGGTTTGTGATGTTGTCTGGTGTGTTAGTTTTTTTTCCTGTTGTTTGCAAGATGTAGGGCTCTTAGCTACAGCTACAGTACCACATCTGCCTGCATGCTGCCATGTCCCACCATGATGCTAATGGACTGAACCTCTAAAACTGTAAGCCACCACCTCAATTAAATGTTTTCTTTATAAGAGTAGTCATGACATCTCTTCACAGCAGTAAAAACCCTAAGACAGCATGTATTAAAAAAAATAAACTTGCTCTTACTGATGTGTTCTAGTAACATGAGTTAAATTTTATGCCGTGTAGGAAGAGATGGAAAGAGAGCAAAAGATATACAACAACTATCTAATGCAGCGACGAATGGAAGAAAAAGCCCAGGAGAAAGAACTAGACAGAATACTAGAAGACATAAAAGCAAAGAAGTTGGCTCAGAGCTGGCACTTGAAAAGGAAGCAAGGAAGCAACTCGTGAACGAAGTCATGTGTACAAGAAAACTCCAAGTTCAAGAAAAGAGTAAGGAACTGGATCATATCCATCTTATCTTTGCCGTTACTTTTTATAAGTTAGTTGTTTACTTAGCATTTAATTCAGAATGATGGGTTTCACTGTGACATTTTAATTCATATGTGTCATTATATTCTGCTCTCATTCACCCTTCCACACCATCCTTCTGTCTCCCCTTCTCCCATGCTCTTACATTTAACAAAGCAAAACATTTAGGTATCCATCTGTACAATGCCATGAATGTTGCAAGTACTAAGACCCCTATAGGCAAACACAATGTGGAGTCAGACCAGATTGATAATAGATAGTTTAACTAAGAAATAGTACTCACGTAGATCCACTTAGCCAGTCAGCAGGGAGCAAGAGAAGGAGCCCACGTGTGTGCCCTTGAACTACTTAAACCTTTCCCGCATCACTCTGACCACGCCCAAGCAGGTGTGGTCAGCAACACCTGGTCCAGCCCCAAGCAAGTGTGGTTAACGTTACCTGTGACCACGCCCAAGCTGGCTTGGTCAGCGGTACCTCTAGTCATGCTTTCTCTCTAGAGACCCCTGCTTTTGTGAATCTTGTGTAATTAGAACAGGAGACATAAATGAAGGAGAAACTTTGTATCCTAGCAGACACTGTCCAGTTGCAGGGGAGGTGCTCTCAAGGTGGAAGAGCAGAGTGCGCCCTACTGCTGTCTACCTTGATGATTAGAAAAGATAGGAAACATGGAAGGCAGTCACCCGCTTCTTCCTGCTCCCTTTCATCTGTCCCTCTTTTCTTTCTGTCTCTCTGTAACTTTGTGCAAGTCATTTTTTAAAAGCCTGAAATGTGCTGAACCATGAGAATCCTAGGTGTCTGTTGAAGTCAGCTCAAATGGTTCATTCACTCAAGGCTTGTTGTGTTCCCCATGCAAAGTTCATCCTTCTCTCCAAGGCTTTAACTATTTGCCATTTTGATGACTGATGGGCTAGAAGGGTCTCCATTCAGAGACCTTTCTCAAAATCTGGGGAGGTCTTCTCCCTTTTTCTATCAGCAGTCAGTCTACATCAGTTCCCAGGTGTTTCATAAGGAACTTTCAACTAGTCTTATGAGGGTGAAGTTTAGTTTAAGATTTCTGGAATTACATGTACGCTGAGTTACCCCCATCTCATGGACCTCCCTGGACCAAGTTGCCCCATGCTAAGTGAAGGAGTCTATTAACTCTGTTAGAATCCAGAGCAGACCCTTCTCAGGTCATGCCTGTCTGTAGCTGTGTCTTCCTCCTCTCTCCAGCTGATTCTGCATACTGGTCCTAGCCTAACACACTACCAACTGTATGATAGATACACATTAACTAAATGGGCCTCTCCTCCCTATTCATGCCACATTCTCAAGGTTGTGTATTTCTTTCTCAAATGAAAGACCCCCCCTCCACATGGAAATCAGAGGCAGTCTGACTGCAGGTGTGTACTGTGGATTACTGAAGTCTCTAAGGGACCTCTCCTCTACTACTTGGGCCTGAACTCTCCCCCAGAGTTCCTGCCATACTGGTATCTGCCTATCTTTATTAAAATTAACATTTCCCCCAATAAATTCCTTACCCCAAAGGGTAATTGAACATAGTGTCCCTCGTGCTCTCTGAATGCAAAGCCTTTCCAGTGAGATGCTCAAAGGATCCCCTGGAGACCATGGATCTTACAGCCTCACTGTGTCTACATTATAGCTTCTTATGGTTTCCCACTCATGACCCTTTCACTCCGGAAATTGTTAAACAGCCCCATGTATATGAGTGTATAAAATAGGTACACAGATCAAACATGAACTGAAAATATATCATAAGTAAATTTATTTGATAACAATTCTTTAGTATATGTATATTTTTATCATTTATTAAAGACAAAACCAACATTGCATACTAATGAGATATTCTTGCTTATTTTGCATAAAGAATGAGGTCTTGGGGCCTAATCTTGGTTGAATATTTGATAATTCAGGACTGATACCACTTTTAATATTTTTCAGAGTTGTCTGGTATTTTTATTTTATAACCATCAATACTGAGAATACCATGTCACATGAACATATAATTCAAAACAGCAGAATTATATTGAAGGCTGTTTCAGAAATTGTTGGGAATTCTGCCCTAAAAACCAAAGAAAAATTCATTTACTGATCTATAAAAATGAAACTCAAAAAATGAAACTCACGTCAGCAATTCAAACATCAATAATAATACATTAATCAGTAATCAAACATTCTAACATAATATAATTGAAAGATCTGATACATACTGAGTAATGTTAATAAGAAAATAACTGAAATCTTTGTTTATTTCTGTGACCCACACAGTTTAAGGATTGACCTAACTGGGGCAAGGGGGATGAAGAAATGATAAACTAGTACATAAAAGCTGGGGTGTTGTGTTGTGGTCTGGGCTGTCATGGAGATGCAGTGACAGCAGCTTGGAGCCTTGGCACATTTATCGGGTGTGTTAGCTAATCTGAGTAGAGGGTCTCTGTAGGGAAACAGTCTCAGGATGAAGTTTTTTACTTTGTGCACACACTGGTTTTAGCTAGAGGTCAAGCATTTCTCAATATCTGCACTTGGACCAGAGAAGGACCTGGCTGTTCCTGAGGATCTGAGGCATTGGCATCCCTAACTTGGTTCTGCTCTTGTCAACAACACATTTGCCCAGGACTTCATCTGCCACCTGTGTCTTTCCCTTTCTTATTTCTTAACCGTTCCCACTCCCAAGGAAGCTTGACTTCTAGTCCCTGCAGCAGCGCCACTTATATCATCTCTAGAACCTGACTGAGGAGAGAAAAAACAAAACAAAACAAAACTCAGTGTTCACAGTGTGATCAAATGTCCTATAAGAGAATTCCAAAGCAGCTAGACTATTTTACACTCCTACCAGTAATGTGTAAGGGTTCCTTTTCCCCCAGATACATACCATCAGCTGCTATCATTTATATTCTTGATCATGGTCATTCAGACTAGAGTGAAATGGAATTCTAAAAGTAGTTTTAGGCCAAATTTCCTGATGGCTAATGATATTGAACATATTCTAAGTGGTTTCTAATAATCTGTATATTTTTTCTTTGAGAACTCTGTTTAGTCCCATAATTCACCTTTTTAATCAGGTTGTTTCTTTATTTCATTCTCTGTATTCTCAAGTTATTAAGCTTCTGTCAGATATATAGTGCTGTTGGGGTATCCACCAGAGGAGACTGCTCAGGCAATAGAAAGTCTTTATTAGCCAGCCAGTGACTGCACTGGTATTGAAAGACCCTGAACCCCTAAGGGCCATAAGATCAGAAGGAGCCCCTGAGACTCAGAAACCAGACCAAGAGCTGCAAAAGAAAGAGAATTTATTGAACGAATGCGCATTCGGGTGTCAGCAATACCGGGAAAGCTGCACACCCAGCAAGGGTTATAGGCTCCTTTTATGGGGAAAACCCGCAAATCAGCATACATGCATGGGGTACAATGTGAACAAAGTATGATCTCATGTTAGAGAGGTCACCCAGGTGTGACCTGTTTTTCTACAAAGGAAAAACCACAGAATGTACTCTGGAAAGTCCCTGATTATCTATTGGCCAGGTGTGACCCAAAAAAGATTGTTTGTCTGCCCTGGGTTGGGGCCAACTTTGTTGTCATGGGCCAAGGCCTGTGGGAAACTGTTCTCTCTGTGAACTAAAATCTTTCATTCCCCCATTTTTTTTTGGGGGGTGAGGTTTTAATCCTAAAACTTAGGTCCTTCTTATTGCCTGAGAGCCTGATATTGCTGATTAAGAACTAGGGCTTGGGTTATGAATAAGCGTTCTTTAATAAATCGGAGTAGGTGATTAAGAATGCATGGCCCAAAAGTCAGCAGTAGTAAAAAGAATAAGCAGGGGTCCCACGAGTATGGAAACTAGAGTAGTAAGCCAAGGGGATCCCATTAAACCATCCTTTAAATTAGCCTTGTGGGGACTCTTGTTCCTTTCATTGCTGGTTGAGTCTCTTCCTGAGCTTGGCCATGGAATCTCTAATAACTCTAGAATGGTTAATATAGAAACAGCATTTCTCTTTCAGGGCAGCATAGAGTCGCCCTCCTTAAGGAAAAGGAGATCAAGTCCTCTATGATTTTGAAGGGCAACCTCCGCTAGAGAGGCCAAATGTAAGGGGCCATGGGCCCAGAACTATGTGGTTTAAAGCCCACCTTTGTAAGCCTTTAATGACCTTTAAGTTTGCTGCTTAAAGCCAGCTCTGTGAGCCTCCTGTAACCTGTAATTAGACACGGTTTGGCCTAGCGGAACTGCTAACTGCTTCTGTTCCGAGAAAGGGCCGTGGGGCTTTCCTATTCGATGTTCCGGGGAAAACCACAAGATGTTCCGGCTGATAAGAAGAATGTTCCAGCCCCAGCAAACACCAGATGTTCCTTCCTGTTATCCCCCCCCCCTTACCCAATTTCCTTGTTGCAGGGCTATATAAGCCCACTCTAAAGCCTTGATAAATGAGACCTTGACATTGCACAGACAGACTCTTGTCCTTTTCTTGCACCGCTTGGTCTCCTTCCCTTCTCTCACCCATGACTCTTTCAGGCAGTCCCCCTTCGGACCCTGAATAACTGGACCCACGGGACGGGTCAGCCAAAGTTTTTTAGTTTTGTGATGGATCCTTTTATGGATTTAGTATCTTCATTTATGGCTGTTTTTAGCTCGTTGTAGTGTCGGGGCCCATAAATCAGCACAGCGGTTCCTGTGTTGATCTCGGCTGTTATACCTGTCCCTAGGAGGAAGGCCAGGGTGAGGGATATGGGTTTTCTCTTAATTCTGTTAGGATATCTCTCATATATTTTATAGGCCTGTTTAAGATAATCAGCAGGGTGGTAAGACATCCAGGGAAGCAGGCGAATCAGGACATGGAAGTCTTTGGAGGCATTTAAAGTCTGAATATGTATATATGGTGTCAGCCCGGTGTTATAAGTCCATCAAAGTCCAGGCTCAGGGATCAAGTAGGTGGATGAGCCTAGATAGGAATTTGGCCTGACTGGGGGC